CTAGGACTCCAAGATCCCTTTCCCCTTCCGTGCCACCCAGCAGGTCATTCCCTAGGCTGTAGGTGTGCTGGACATTTTTCCTCCCTAGGTGCAGTACTTTGCATTTCTCCTTGTTGAACTGCATTCTGTTGTTTTCTGCCCACTTGTCCAACCTGTCCAGGTCTGCTTGCAGCTGTTCCCTGCCCTCCGGTGTGTCCACCTCTCCCCATAGCTTTGTGTCATCTGCAAACTTGGACAGAGTACACTTCCATCCCTCGTCCAAGTCGCTGATGAAGACATTGAAGAGTATCGGTCCAAGGACCGAGCCCTGCGGGACCCCACTGCCCACACCCTTCCAGGTCAAAACCAACCCATCCACTATGACTCTCTGGGTGTGACCCTCTAGCCAATTCGCCACCCACCGGACTGTGTAGTCGTCCAAGTCACAGCCTCTTAACTTGTTCACCAGTATGGGGTGGGATACCGTATCGAAGGCCTTCCTGAAGTCTGAGTATACGGCATCCACCCCTACTGCGTCCAGGCGTTTTGTAACCTGGTCATAAAAAGAGACTAGATTAGTCAGGCACGATCTGCCTGCTACACACCCATGCTGGTTTCCCCTCAGCATAATTTGTCCTGCCGGGCTCTCGCAAATGTGAGCCTTGATAATTTTTTCAAAGACTTTGCCAAGGATGGAGGTGAGACTGACTGGCCTATAGTTGCCCGGGTCCTCCTTCCTCCCCTTCTTGAAAATGGGGACCACATTGGCCCTTTTCCAGTCCTCCGGGACTTGGCCCATGCGCCACGAGCGTTCGAATATTCCCACCAGTGGCTGTGCAATGACGTCAGCCAGTGCCTTCAGTACCCTCAGATGGAGCTCATCCGGGCCTGCCGACTTAAAGGCATCCAGTTCCTCCAATTGACTCTGCGCCATCTCAGGGTCTACGCGTGGTAGTCTGGTCCCTTCCGCCGGCAGCATCAGCGGTTCTTCTTTAAGGGGGTGCACTGCTAGTCTCAGGGAGTGCATTGCCAATGCCCAAATCCATATTTTTCCAAGATTTAAATGAAACGCCATTAGATAGATAGATGGTGTTTACCACAATATATATAGTGGTGTTTCATTTTAAATCACCAAAAAATATGGATTTGGGCTTACTTTTTTTAACTGAAAATTGGGGATTTTTTTAAAATCAGTGAAAACCAGGACCCCTGATATTCAGAGATATTTGGCAGACAGTATATAATTTTTTTCTTTTTTCCGATTACAGAGTTCATTATGTGTTCTCCCTATCAGTCTTTGATACGATTTATTTAATAACATTTATAACAATTTTAAAGGTATAGGAGTTGGATTTTTGTTTGTTTTTTTATGACATAAGAGGCTTGTTGCAAAGAAGCCTACGGTCTGACAAACATTCCCAGGCGTCATCGTGAAAGTGAATGCACCCCCGCAACTACCATGATCTTTAATGGGAAGTTGCAAGTGCTTGTTCCATTACAGGAAAAGGGGGTGTGTCTACATGTGCAAGTGACACGGCATTGGGTATTCAGGGATGGGGGTAATGACCCTAGGGCTCTGTGACAGTGCCTGCTCCGTCTTGTGGGCACCTTCTAGTCTCACCTACCATGTCTTGTTGGTTGAAATAATAAGCTAGGAGGCTGCCCACGAGTTTGTGTAGTCACGGTCCTAATGAATCCCACTAGACTTGGCTGATCTCGGATCCCTTGCTGGGTCTCACTCAAAGTGAGTGCCTCCTGAGACACCCTAAGCCTTATGGGCTCAATGTGTGTCTCCAAAGCCACCCCTTTACCATGCCCCATGCCTCACAGATTGTATTTAAATGTTGTCTCTTGATGAGGCTGCAGTCTAGCTCAGCCTCCTGTCATACAGGCCCCAGTAGCTGCACCCTCTGGCGCTGGGGTCTCTTCACCCCCTGTAGCGGCACCTTCTGATGCTGGAGCTCTACACGGTAGTGTGCCCCAATGAGGCTTCCTTCTCCCCAGTTAGCCTCATCCCAGTCCACCAGTTCAAATGACAACATAAATACTTGCCCCTGGGCTATAACATAACAACAACAATAACATTGGAAGACACACTCTTCCCCTTTAAGGAGGCAAGCTTCTCTCTCAGCAGTGTGAGCTTCCTAGCCCCAGATACTTCAGGAGCTCCTACAACCAATTAGTCTTACCAGCAGCAGAATAGGTAACCAAGCATCTCTGAGTAGCATTTCTTTCCCCCAACTGCTGACAGAGAACTAACCCCCTGCCAGCCCCAGCCCTGGGCCTTATATGTGCCCAGGGCACTGTTTCCTGTCAGCTGACCAGGTGCAGGTGCCATCTAATACCCTCACTAGCCTACTGTCAAGGCAGCCTGCCCCTGTACAGTCCTGCCTAGCTCTCAGGGCTCCCTAGCTAAGCTGCCTCTGCTCTTGAAGGAGCGGGCACACCTTTGTGCCCTGCAACAGCAAGTAATGCTGGATCAGTTTACTCTAGAGTAAATTATTCAGGAGTAAACTGAACCAGGCACACAGCTACATGGGCAGAGATTTGGGAGCAGATTTGCTGCTCATGGGGGTCCTGCACCAGTCCCCTGCAGCAGCCAAGGGGAGCTCTAGGCTGCCCCTGGGTGCTAGCCCAGGAACTGGCAGGGAGCATGGGGCCAGGAGACAGCTGTCTCCTGGTGGGGGCTGGGACATTGCACCCTGCCCCTAAGAGCTGCCTGCTGCCAGGGTGGGCTTTACCACCAGAGGCCAGGCGGAGACAATGTCCCCCTGCCTTGGCATCAGGGAGCTCCAGGCCCTGTGATTGCAGAGCTCAGGATAGGAAATAAGACTCTCCCAGCCCAGGCCTTGTGATCATGGAGTAGGGGCTGGGTGCTCCCTGCTGCCAGAGCAGAGGGACATTGTCCCTGCCTGGGCTCCCGTGGCAGAACCTGCCCTGGCAGCAGGCAGCTACAAGGGGCAAGGAGCAATCTCCCACTCCCTGCCGCCTGGCTGACCAGGAGCAAATGTGCTTCCAGTCAGGCGTCTACATGTACGCTACTGTACAGTAAGTAATAGAGAGTATATTTGCTATTTGTATTTACAAGTAGCAGATTTACTTGCAATGAGAGAAAATTACTGCACAGTAAGTGTTTGCATGTGTAGGTGGTGATGTTTACTGTGCAGTTATTAGCTCTAATCTTGAGCATCTTGTATCAACGCACCCATGGTATTTCCTTCTACAGAGTTATAGGTCTCATTTTTTGCATGCTTGACCTATTATTTTACTTTATTGCTTGCCAAAAAAAAATGATATTTGAAACTGGGCTGGGTAAAACATATATGAAATGATAAATAGGATGTAAAACTCTGGGTCCCTTGCTGCCTGTGTTCAAATCTAGTTTCTCAAATATGGCTGCTATTTTATTTGAAAACATTCTTCTAGTTGCCACTTCTGTATGGGAGAGAAGGAAATGAGGAAAACAGGAGCTTAGAAGGTGGAAATCTGAGTATAAAATAATATGTTTATGGAACATCTGTCTGCCCGAGTGTATAGAAATTATATTTTTATTTAGAACTGTTTCTAGTTCTAAGTAAAGGTTTATAATTCTTAGAACGTTTAGACTGTTTCATAAACTACTTATCGTGTACGGTGCATGATCCAGTTATGGATTGTTGTGTACACACTGTCTCTATCCTGACCTGAAAATAAAATAGATCTATTTTACAGCTACAGGAGATATTCAGAAAGAAAAACGAAAAGCGAGAAAGAAAAGGAGATGAAGAAAAACGTGCAATGCTGGTAAGCATGTGTAGAAGAGTTGCTGTGGTTGGTGTAATTTTGATCCTGGAGTTTAAGGTGTTCCTGAGGTGGTTGTAGGGAAAATATGTGGAATATATGTAACTGTTACTTTAATACATAATTAAAATAGAATTGGATTTAAAAAAAAACCCTTGTAGTTAACAAAGTGTGAATACACATATCATTGTAACATTCTGTGAGAGTGAGAGCATATGATTTTACTGCCAACATAAAAGTAAGTTTTGAAAGACCAGCTTCACTCTAACATTTATATTTTTCAGTCCCTCATAAGTTTCTTTAAAAAGTTTGTATGCATCTCCTCTTTTTCATGCTTAGTCTCAACACCAATGCTTTCAATGCATTCAAAAAACAATTCTTAATTTAAGAAATCAACTAAGAAGTTATAGTCAAATTGAAACCTATATTTCCAAGTATGTTATTTTTGTTGTTATGAACAGGTGTTGCTTACAAAAACTGTATGTGGCTCTCCAGAAAGACCTGCTGTTAAGCATGTGTATGTAGCTCTAAAAAAGTGTAGCCTATTTGAGGTAAAAAGCTACAAAAATTAAGTACTGTGCTTCACCAATACAGATTGTTTTCAAGTCCTTAGCACATGTAAATCAGTTTTCTTCAAACATAACATCTTTTTGCAGACTACTGTTGACTACCACCCTTAGCCTGGGATTTGTTCTGTGTATGTGGAAGGCCAACAAGAAATGTAAAATTTGTGGTTTGGTTTTATGAAGTATGAGGACAGCAGCATCAGGGGTTTTGCATCTCTGTGTACCTTGGATAAAATTCAAGTGGCAGTCTTCTACCAATCCCAATATGGAAAATGGGTGCAAAACTATCACTTACAAACCCATGGTAAAAAATCCCACAATGTTGAGGGTACCTTTTTATGGCTGCTCTTAATCTGACCATTTGGGATTATAGATTCTAGTGTTTTTAAACCTTTTTTATTAATTTTTAATGTTAAAGGCATGTCTGTCTGTCCATGCTGGGACTTTGCTTCCTGGGATTTGGCCTTAAAACAATGGAAATCTTAAATCTTAGAAACTGTTGCATATTTTTAATGATCTAAACCAGAGGTGCTCAAGCCATGGTGCACAGGCCAAATATGGCTCATGGTGCTATGGCATATAGCCAACAGGACTCCCCACAGGTGGGGAAATTTGGTGGTGGGAGAGTAGTGGCACTTAACGATACCACTTCTCCCTGGCTACCAGATTCCTAAACCTCACACGCTGAGGTCAATGCTGGACTACCCACCCTTCCCTCTACATGGACAGACCGGATGCAGGCCCCACATCCTTCTCCCTGCACAGGCAGATCACAGCAGGCCATGCCTTCTCCCCCACCCACATGAGGCTGAGCCTTGTCCCCTCTCTCCCCCATGGGACCAGGTCGCAGCTGAACCAAAACCCCTTCCCTTGTGTGGCTGAATGAGGGCCAGGCTGCCCCCTGTTCCCCTTCATATGGCTGAATCAAGCCCCACCGTGCCCACACTGCATGCCGGATCTGGCCCACGAGATGCATCTGGCCCACAGATGTACTGGGTTCTGCCCTTCCAGCCAGTAAGGCAACAATGTTGCACACCATTCATCTTAGCATAAAAAATGCATTCTGCCTTCCTACCAGATGCACATCATTTTCAAATTTTAAAATTGAAACGTTCTCATATCCCCACAAATGGCAAAATCCACAAATAAGGCACTGCGTTCATGAACACAGTCTGTGTTCATGAGTGCAGTGCTCCCAGCAGTGGTGTTGTGGCATATCGGCAGGAGCCTGGCAGCAGCAAGCACAAAGCTCCCAAGGAACTCTGGTAAGTGTTTAAAGTGTATTTAAAATGAGGGTTCGGCATTTGCGAATAATTAAAACCACGAATGCTGAACCCGCAAATAACGAGGGTTTCCTGTAAACTGTTCCTTGTAATTTAAGTTTATTATGCTTGGCTCCATATATTTTCTATTTAGAGAATCTTAAATGTGAATTAAAAGACAACAGTTTCTTCTTCACACTTTAAAATAAAAAGGTGAAGATTTCTCAGCACAGATTAAGATTTACTTGTTTTAACCTATTCTGTTGTCTTTCTCTTTCTCTCTTTCTCTTTTCGGCTTCATTCTGAAATATGATGCCCTTTTTGCTGTATGTCAGCGTCTTCAACTGTATGGATATCACACTTCTACTAGCAGTGTATGTACTCTAAATATTTTCTATGTATATAGTCTTCATAAGTGAGATGGAACCATTTTCTGTAACAGTTGTGTCTTTAGCAAGTAAATGACATTTACAGTTGTAGAATCCTACTCACTTAAAACAGAAGTGATGTTCAAGGCTATAGAAAGTTTCATGGGTTTGGTACAATCATCAAGTAACAGGCTAGCCTGTTCAAAGGTAAGGTGGCTCCCTCTATATAGGTAATAAAGAAAAGGAACAGTTTTGCATCAGTAAGCTTTGGGTAGGGAGACAAATGCATATAAATTAACTTTCCACATCAGTTCTTAAACTAGGTCCTTTCCTTCCCTCAAAACATGATAGTCTTTAATAATATCTATATTATCAGCATTAAGTTAATTTTCCATTCAACAGAGAAGAAAAGATCACAGTTATTACTACTTTATTCTTTGTTTATAAAGTAACAAACAAGTAACCCTTCATTGTAGGATGAAGACTGGGGCTTTTGGGAGGAAGTCTCTGATCCAGATAGAGTTCAAGTTGTTTTATTCTTGATCACCCTTTGTCATGCAAGAAATATTCAGCTTACTTTGGACATCTTTTTCACTTTGGATGAATACATTCCCAGAGCACAAAAGAGTCTGACTTGTTTAAAAGATCTTCCTTCACTGGCTGACATTAAAAAAGCCAGGGAAGAACCAAACGCTAATTCTTAATGGTAAATATGGGGGCTTTGTTCTTAATGAGCCTGGTTACTATGTTAATTAGACTGGATAAAAGGAGAGGTTGAATTTCTAAACATGAAGCAAAGATTTAAAGCTAGCCACCTAGTTTAGTTTACCATTGCCTTTTGTTAGCTCTGCAATATTAACAAAAATAAGTGTCAAGAACTTTTTTCAGGGAACTGAAAACATACTGTATTTACTCAATTTCAAGGTGAGGGGGGTTTTCCCCCTTTAAATGGGGGTGAAGCACCTCATCTTGGAATTGAGTATGAGATGGGTCAGGGGCAGAGCCACAGCTAATGCCTGCCCCAACTGCTCCCCTGCCTGGCTGCCTTTCCCACTACCTGCCCTACATCCACACTGTCTGCTCCCTTACTACCTATCCCCCTACTGCCTGTCCCCCACTGCCTCCCCTGCCACCATCCCCCCACTTCCTGCCCATTATTGCTCCCCCATCATCTGCCCTACTATGTGCGCTGTCTGTCCCCTTCTGTCTGCCCTATTTTTGGCCTCTCTTCATCATGTTCCCCACACACACACACACACACACACACACACACACACCTGCATTAGTAGAGGGTATGAATTTAAGATGATCCTCCAATAATTAGATTCTGTACATGGAAAATTAAAATAAATTTATACATTTCCTATACATAGAATCTAATTATGGGGGATCACCTTAAAGTCAGGGTAATTTTGGATTTGGGTAAGTATGGGAAATGATGAATAGATATGAGAAGGATGTGAGTAAGAAGATTCGTAGATGCTAGGGTCGAAAGGGACCTCAACAGATCGTCAAGTCCAACCACCTGCCTAGGCAAGAAAGAGTGGTCAAATGACCCCAGCCAGATGCCTATCCAGCCTTTGGTGCAATGGCCTTTTTATATCATTCTATTCTTACAATTTCTGTATATATCTGTCTTTCCCACACACAGAACTTACGTTAAATAGATCCCTTCTGTATCAGATGATATTCTGAGACTTCTCTAATAGTTGAAACACTATTAATGATCTAAAGTCCTGTGATGTATTTCCATTGACCTTACTAGGCTTCAGATTATGGCCTATGTCCAAATGAAGAAAACCATAGAGCTGTTACCCCATCTTCATATTCTAGATTTATTCCTCTTTTTAATTGTAAGAACATTATTTTTAAACTTCTGTCATTTCTATTTCTAGTAAATAATCTATTTATATATTTGCTTTTAGAAAGAGTCATTTCAGTAGAGATTTTAGAAATATTAAAAAAAAA